GACCGAATGGAGAGATCGGGATCGGATGAATAAGTGGCGGGCAAGATGAGTATCTTTGTTGGGAATATGAAGAGTCATGGATACTGGAAGGTGATTGCTGATTATACGAAGAGGATTGGTAGGTGGGCGTGGATCGGCCGACGCAGCAAGAACATTGTTGTTCAGAAGTTTGAAGATTTATATATCTTTCATCATGGTGTTGAACTTGTCGAGAGCCATAAGAGGAGGCTATTTCAGGCGATTCTGGTGGTGAGAGCAAGGGTCTAATACTACCAGCGTGACGATCGTAAGAAGAAAATTGTATGGCGCTCCGGACCGGTGAAGGAGAGGAGAGTGGGCCTATAAAAATATATAATTTATACATGTGTTATTTAATATATATATATTAAAAATTTTGACTAGGTTTCGATATGTACTTACCATGAACATCCTCGGTAGGGGAAAGAAGGAATTTAATCGGAGGAAGAACAGTGTGATGTTGCATGATTTTATTTTTTATTTTATTTTATATTTTATTTTATTTTATATTCTTATATTTTATTTTTATTTTTTTTTATTTTTATTTTTAAACGAAAAAAGAACACTTATGAAGTCTTTAAAAGTCTTTAATAAAATATTTCAAAAAAATAGTATTTTTAAAAACTAAATTGGAACAACAAAAGGATTTCATGAAGGTTATATATTTTTTTGTCATAAAGAATTTCGGATGTTTTTACGGAGCAAATAATTATTGCAAATTTTTTCAGCGAATAAAAGGTGATATTACATAATCAGATAGACAAAATATTTTTGTTTTGCATTCACCTTTTTTTTTCTTTTTTTTTACGAAAGATCGACGAATAGTTCAAAGATCAAATAAATTTCAGTTCTCTTTCTGTTTGAGATCATTCAAAAAAATGATCAGCATAAATTGTCAGACATATACCAATTAATGCTAATTAATGCACGCTCAAACCATTTTTCTATTAGCGTAGATCTAAATTCCATAATGGGGAGAGGCGGGAAATAAGATCTAGGATCTCACGGAAAAGTAATTTCGGAACCAAAAGTATCATTAGATCAACACGGGTTTCACATATTATTATTCATTTTGAATCCAATAATGGGTACAGTATATTACATTTGGAAATTCATTCTTGGATAGCCAAGTCATTTGATATGAAAAAGAAACGTAGATAAAAAAGATTTGCAATCTTGGGAGATCGACGTTTTGTATTTGGATATCACATTCAGTTAATTAACCATTATTTAAATATGTAAATAAAAAATATTGGGTGGAAAATAGATGGGAAAATAGAATTACTAGTCTTTGTCTAAAAAATTATCCACAAATAAAAAATTACTACACACATTAATGACGATTATGATTATCGAAAATTCTTTTAATAGTTGAAATTCTTTAATTGATGTGTTTATAAAATAAAATAAAAAGAGAAAGAACAGAAATGCAATGAAGATCACACTCTTTCGTAGATAAGTTTGTCCGTGCCAAGATTTTCTTTTAGATAGACGAAATTTTGATAATTAATCATTGCAAATTTGCATTGCATAATATTTAGTAAATATTGTGATTTTGCTATATGCTTTTCAGTCCACATGGAATTAGCTGTCCATACGTAAATTTTTTAAATATTTATGTGATCTTTTATCATGTGGCTATCGGATTTATTAGGACGATCCGTGTTGTAGATCACTAATTCGTATTTGATTAATATTATAAATGTATAAATGTATTTAAATGTGTATTTATAGAAGTAACAAACATCGACGATCTCTTAGCATTCATATCTTGAATCGTGATCATAGCTAACCAATCAAATTAAAGCATTATAGATGTTTTATTTGATGTCATATATCGTGATTGGTTCTTTTAAAAAATATATATATTTTATATATATATATAATATATATAATATATATATATATCTATCGCTATATACATAATATATATTTTCGTATGACGGCTCTTTAAAATCTGCGAGGATATTCCGCTTGATTTACACAAATATCCAGCATTTAATCAACTAGCATTTAATATCAATGTTTGACACTAACAACAAGGATCTGCATAAAAAACTTTTCGGTAAATGCCGATCCGTAAAATATTTTAAGATTATCAAACATTACAAAGCGCATAAAGAATAAGTCTAACGCAGCTAGGAAACAAATTATGGTAACCTACCGCAAAAACGATGGTACCGAACCCGAAATTTTATAAAATATGTATTATTTGTAAGTTAAAATGTTATATAATGCATTTATAAGCGAATAAATTTATTAATTTATTGACTTTATCAGGAATTCCGCGGATAATACTTATGCCAATTTAAAAAATATTTGTAACGGTAATGATAATCCTAAATCCGACATCAGATCGTCAACTGAGAATATACGTATCAGTATACAATGCAAAGATAATTATTATTTATTAATAAAAATTCTGGTTTTCTGATTACAAATAGCAAAGTTCTATTAATCGATCCAATGGACTATTTTTAAATTCTAAGGTTAATCTAATCGGTTTATTATATTACGCAAAGTACATCATCCTAACTGTCAAACATCACTACCAATTATTTTTCGTCGATGACGTTATTTATAAATATGATTAACATTAAGGATCTTCCAACTTATTACACTGCAGTTTTTTTAAATTTCATATTACATAAATGAGAGCGAAAAAAATTAAATGAATATTTTAATATTTTAATTTTAAATGTCATAAAATATATATTAAATATATATATATACTTATATATATCTGATATATAAAATATACATTAAAATATACATAGAATGCAGATAAAAATTTATACAGTATTTAAAATTTTTTAACGCTATCATCACGTAATCATTTTTAATTAGTATCAAAACGCGTCATAAATCTTTTTTGTTAATGCAGGAATTTTCTAATTCTTTATGATCGCTGATGCGAGAAGATGTAATTCCCAAACTTAACTGAAATGCCAAGGGAAATTTGTTATCGGGTTTCAAGTTTATTGCTTTCTGACTCCGTCTATCCGATTTCTTAGGGTTGTGTTCGTAATTTATAAATTTAAAAACCCCGATTTATGACAGGTTTTCCCTTGCCGACATCCGTTTAGTAAGCAGATTACGTAATTTCCACATTAGCGCTTTTTAAAGTTGTTGATTTTCTTTCTATATCGATATATAGTTTTGTTTTTTTTTTTTAGGCAGGCTAGCTTTATTTCGTATGAAATTAAACCAATCAAATGTTTCTGTCAATATGAATTATTCTAACCATGTATAAATATATTTTTATTCATTCATTCGGATGGAAATGCATCTTTATGTATTTATTTCCAGTTAGCTTAGTTTCCTCATTGAACATATTTGAGCAACCTAGTATATTTAGACTACGTTTTATAATCTTTGTTTTCGCAGTTTCGTTTCAACGTAAATTGCAAATTGATGATAAATCATGTGAAAAATTTTTCCCTGTAGCGAACTTGACTTCTATAAATACTTATAATCTTGATCGATTCCATAAAACATAGATTTTGCGTCAATTAATCAAAATTATCTTTAAAAAAAATTGTTAATTTTATATCGATATAGCATTAGACTTTAGTTTTTGAATACCGTCTTCGTAAATAAAGTACTCATACGCGAGAGTATCTTGGCTTTCTAAATGCTGTAATATCGTAACTGATAATGATAATAGATAATTATTAATATCATTTTACGTAAATACAGCACATATGTGCGTACATACGTATCTGTATGTACCTGGTACGTACGTATATACAGTGCATACGTACGTACGTACATACATATCTGATATGTACGTACGTACGTTAGATATTATGTACTCGCCAAGTTTAGCCAGAATTATAAACTACGTACGTATAACTCGCATTATCGACAAATTTAGACTTTTGCCGATGCCACTGAAATTATTGAGGTTTCACCGCTCTGAAACATGTATGGCATTACATTAATCCATAGGTCAAATAAGCTAAGAAAAAATGATGTCAATGAGCATAAGTACGTAGCAATTTTCTTATATTTAATTAATAATGTTACTTAAGAACATTCTGCATTCTAATTTCTTAAATTTGTGCAAAAAGATAAGCGATTAATATCAATTTCGCATCGGAAATACCTTTTGGAATGTTAGTACTAAGTGTCACTCAAAGCTTTAAATATGGTGTATATTAAAAATAGCATAAAAGGATTCGTGTGATTTAAAGTGGTTGCATACGTACATAATATCGTGATCACAAATAGAGAAAAAAAACTATTCTCAGATTTCATGAGAATAAAAGACGCAATGTTTATCACCTGACAATTTATTTCTCTTATCGAATGCAAAAATAGTTTGATGTAAAAATATAAATTAAACCATCTAATTTTTTTTCAAAGAATTGTGATTATCTTTTTCTTTATTTTTTTAAATAAAAAAAAGTCAAATTGAGAATTTTTTTGTGGACGAATTTCTTTTCGTCGATCACCTTTTCATCTTATCCTTCGATTGCGTATCTTTGGTAAATTTAACAAGAAAAAAAATGATACGAAAACTGAGACCTATTCACAATGATCTATCATGATCTAGTAGTGTTGGGAAGTATGCTCTTGAAATTTTCATTGCTCGTATATCTTTTTTTCCCTTAAAAAATTTACATTTAATATTTCTGTTTTCCTAATTTACCATCAAGATTTAAAGAAAGCATAGAGGTTTCCTTATTGCATATACTCTGGCTCTTTTAATGCTTATCCAAAAGAGCTTTCAAATATTTATCAAATATTTCATTAATGAATGTGTTGACATTGAATTGTGATCACTAATAACATGATAAACATTTTAATGCAAATGTTTTTTTTTCAAAATATATTTATAAAATATTATCTTTGAATAAACCATTTGTCTATATTCGAATAATCGGCTAGCTTTCTTCGTTTGATAAAAAGATTATTTTGTTGCAAAGTATTTGTGAAGTATAAATTAAAGTAAACGCACATGCCATGTTAATGATTTTAGTCGAATTATATACACATGTTATTTAAGTTTTTTTTTTTTTTTTAGGAATATTTGCACATACAACTTACTTTCGTTACGTGAATTCTTGATATCAGATACTGTATACAGTGTTGCCACTGGAAGCTCATTGGAAGCTCATTGGAAGCTCACTGGAAGCTCATTGGAAGTAAAATTTATAATGTCACTAGAACGTTTACACCACTGGAAGGAAAATCAACAGCACTGACTGTATATACTGTATTATAATTACTAAACTTCAACTCAGTATAAAGTGTTTTTTTTTTGAAAAATATAACTGTAGTGAATATTCTTTTATTAACCCATTAAACTTTAATAAAACTAGGAAAACAGGATCTGTTGGGTTCCGGAGCGCCGCTTCATATTTTGTTAATTAATTTTCAAAAAAAATCGTTTTTAGTGTAAACGTATAATTATCGTATACTTATCTTTATCTTTCCAATGAAAATGTAAGAACGCTTTAATGCAATTTAACACTATGAATTAAGTTAATAATGTGATTAATTACTTTAAAATATACTATACTAATGATAATAATTACAATAATGAAATTCTGATCAATTGGAAGATAATGGTAGTTTGGAAAATTTCCATATCCTACATCTGGAACCCACCCGGAATTTCTTTCTTCCCTATTGTCTGGACTTAAGTTCCTCCGCTCTGCTCCGGAAATTACTATACTCTTCAATACATTTATAGAAAATAAATATTCATATAATCAAAATAATATGCTTTTATTTAATAATCAATATAATTTTTCAAAACGATATAATGTATATATATACAATATATTAAATTCTATTTCAAGCTGCTTTTAAGAGAGCCCAAGTATGATCTGCTATATAGTAAATAAAATTACTAGATCTTGTCAGTAACATGGAATCCAATTTTTTTGGTTTTCCTTTCGGCTCTATTGGGTAATTGCGGAAAATTAAGGTCTCCATCAGGCGATACCAGATAAATTTATATAAAAATAAATAGCAAAAAAATCGAATAATTTGCACAATTGGTACAGTACTTCTTTTTTGAAAAAATGGGTTGGCAGGCTACTGCCAATTTAGCAACTTTAATACTACAGTACTTGCAAGTAGCTATGTAGTTACTTTGTAGTAGCTACAGTTTTAAAGTTACTATATGTTAGCAATACGCCTACTACTATTGACTACTACGTTACTACTTTTTACTATACTTTTACTATAATTGCTATTATTGACTACTACATTACTACTATTTTACTATGCTTTTACTACAATTTTATAAAAAAAAATTTTTATAAAATTGTATTAAAAATGTAGTAAAATAGTAGCAATTATAGTAGTCAATAGTAGTAGGCGTATTGCTAACATACAGTAACTTTACTACTACAAAGTAACTACATAGCTACTTTATAGCTAATTGCAAGTAGTATTAAAGTTGCTAAACTGGACAGTTCTGAAAGTATACCTGAAATTCCTACAAGCCAGAATCTACTAGTAGCCCAGCTTGTTAAAACTAGCATTTTGTGCTACATAGAAATATGCGACCAACACGAAAGATGATTGGTCAATTTAGTTGAGCTATCTGATACGTATCACTTCACCGACACTAACTTTGTAGACGCAACGCTGTTTATTTTACATATATTTACCGACATGTTCATTTTACCGACACTGACACTTAATTCACTGACAATTAATTCGCCGACAAGCTTCGTTCACTAACCCCCTAGCACAGTTACGTAATCGTTGTTTAAAATCTGAGATTTACTTAACCGGATCTCGTAACCGACAGGTTAACGACATGTAAAAATTATCAACTTTAATATAAAATTTTTATTGTGTCAAGAAAAAGTGTTTATTCGAATTTATTTGATAACATACTATATCATAAATTTTTATTGCGTCAAGTGTTTATTCGAAATTTATTTGGTAAGCTTTTATTACATAACTTACTATTCTTGATCCGATATCAAATTTAGATTTATTATGCTGCATAATTTAATTTAGGTTATACTTCATAAAGAATTTTTTTATATTGATTTATAATTTCCAATTCGCTTTCTTCTTCACTTGATTCGTCATCTTCTACAACATTATTATCGTTATTGTCAAGAACAATAAAATTTCAAAGGCTATTTTATTATAATTGCATTAAGTTCCATTCTTGCATTCTCTTCTTCTATATTATCCATAAATTTTTTATAAACTACATCTTCGATATTTTCAGGTTCTATAGCACTTGGTTTCAAATTGATTGATTTGTTTTATTATTCGGCACGACGAACATTTTTTTTTGAATTCGATTGGGTTGATAATCGGATTCAATTATGAAATATTTGGTAAGCAAAAACTTTTAAACGATACATTGCATAATTAAATTTTTCGGTATATAATTAATTTCAACTCCGTACGTAACTGATCGTGGTACTGCAAATCGGCACAATTATACTATATTCTAACTCTAATACTAACCGTTGAGTGTTCATTGTTCTTCAAACTTTTCGAATTAAGCTTGTCGATGAATTAATTGTCAGTGAAGTCTTATGTCTACAAAAGGAGCGTCGGTGAAGTGAACGGAATCGATTCATTCAACTAAGACTCAACAAACAGAAGTTTTTTTTCACAGACACTTTTGTTTTATAGACAATCAGTTCATTTTATCGACAGTTCATTTTATAGACAACCTTTAATAAGCAAATAACTTTCGAATCAGCGTTAAAGATTGCCTGAAAAATGAAATATCTGTCGGTAAATTAATAGTCTTTAAAATAAACTTGTCTATGTTGATTGTCTGTAAAACAAGGTGTTTGTGAAATAAACTTCTATGAAGTAATATGTAACCCATTAATTCGAAGAATCAAATCTTTCAAAACATTGCTCACGCAAGGTACGTCCGTTCTAAGATTTAAGCATCGTCCTCACAGAGCACACATGCTAATGCCTTTCCTTCTTCTAGTCCATGTTCAATACATCGAAGATTCAATCTTTCAGAGAACTGTTCTTGTAAAGTGCATATTCTAATGCTTTTACTCATTCTGATCCAGGATTATTACTCCGAAGATTCCATTATTCTTGAAAAGTGCATCTACTGTACCAATGCTTTTCCTCCTACTAATCCAAGTTTACTACATGGATCCTTCAGCATGATGTTCTTGCAAAGTCATCCACCTTTCCGATCCAAGATTATTATTCCCACGATTCAAATCCTTTCCACCTTCTGGCTCAAGTTGTAAAGTATATCTACTAATGCCTTTCCATCATCTGATTAAAGTTCATTTTCCCCATGATGTTGCCAGCGAGGTGTTCTTGCGAAGTACAGTTAATGTTTTTCCTCCTTCCTATTCAAAAATATTCCAAGCAATGCTTGGATCCGGCTAATTTAAGGTGGAATCGCATAATTTAAATAATGATGAAATAAATAAAAATAAAAAGTTCTAAATTAATGATAAATAAAAAAAATTTATTATCACTGTTTGCAATGATGCATCTTCGATCAAACTTGCTTATTATAAATTACATCGAATTAGAAGTGGCAGGTATCGGATTTAGATTATGGAACAGACACCGTGGATCGATTTTTTATCAGATATAGAAGGTTATCGGTTTTGACAAGGTGTACTATATATGGCCAATTCTATTTCTCATGCTCTACAAATTAGACACTAATCTGATAACAACTTTTTATAAAAAGATAAAAAAAAAAAAGATGAAAATAAATAAGAAAAATAAAAAAAATAAAATGAAAAAAATAAAACCCAAAGGGCAAGATATTCTGACAATTACTACTGTATTACAATCTGTATAAAGTTAAAGAAATTATTATCCGAAGGACTCTTGTTTTTACTACAGACTATTATAAATAATATCACGTAAATGTGTCCGTGATTCAGATTGGTCGAATATAGTGTTTCGATCTTAATTTTTAAGGTCCATTCGGATCCTCTTTGGTGTATCCGGATAACAATCCGAATTTAGGTAAATCCCGAATTCAATTATTAAATCCGGATTCTATCTATGGTTTACATGTTTTACGTGCCAAATGGCCTTTATCTAATATAAATTACTTTTAATGCATTATTAGAAATTAAATCCTGTAAGGTTAAAATGATTAAACGCATAAGAATTTACAGGTTTTCGTTTGGCATCCTGGATTTAATATTCGAATTCATCTCTTTATTAATATACTATATCTGTTTGCAAAATATGGGCATGGACAATATGGACCAATGGATATGGACATTTATGGACTATGTCCATATATTGTCCATATTTTTTAAGGCACTTAGCCCAAATCAAGGTCAAATTTTTTACAGAAGGATCCGAAAATTTCGAAATATGGACATGGACACTATTTGAATTAGTATTCCAAATAAAAGTTTTATTGGATATAGTCCAAATGCAAACACTGTTTGCTAAGTAATAATTCTTATAGTTTTTTTTAATCCGAGTAATTAATATAAACAACTAAATTCATGAATGGTTATTGCTATAATCGTTCGCGTTTATCACCAGCATAAGTTCATTATTAATTGATGGCTAAGGAAATTTTTTATTATAGACGGTTGAGCATTATTTACTAATCGATATATTTGATAATTTGATAAAATATAAAGCCATGAATGCGGCATAGTAATGTGACGCAATAATTTTCCTTTCGTTAAGTTTCAACAATAATCAATATTTACGTCTCTCTCAATCCAGCTCTAGCTATCAATTGTGATCAAATCACATAAAAGATTTCTAGGAGTATTCTTATCCATAGTCCATTATACATTAGGTTCCATCCGTTAAAAATTAACGGATATCGCATTTAATCTGAATTATCGAATCCTTTACGCGTAGATTTACGTATAAGTATTTGCTTGATTGATTTCTTGAAGACAGCCTTTTTTTAAACGCAGTATTTTTCTTTTATTATTTGTCTGAGTTTTGTTTTTGTGAGCATCAGTGTTGTCGCAAAGCTGGTCCATTGGAATCACTGGAACTGGAAGAAATAATGTTTCCAGTGGCTAATTGTCATTAGATCCTTCCAGTCGCATTTTTTTTTTTACCACTGGAAGGAAGGTCCGTAGAAGTTCTGCAACAGAATTCTTCACAGTAATTCATGATAGAAATCATGATAATTTCAATACAAACCAACGCAACCTTAGCTATTGTGCATATCGTATTAGCAAGTAAGTTCTGTAACAGATTTGGTTTTTTTTACAGTAAATCATCATGGATATTACACAATAGAATTTCTTTCTAATGTGATTAAAATTAGCGAATATCAGAACCCTATCTACATATAAAACATTTATTCATGTAAGTATTTAAAATAAAGTTATTCTATTTCATAACGATTTACTATTCAATTTATTTCGTTTAAAGTATAACAATTTTATTAATTTTAATTAAAATAAGCAGTTCAAGTTAATGAATCTTTACTGTTTAGTATCATTTTATTCGCATTAACCTGGTGAGCATAAGAACGTTTATTAATCTAAGTTTTTAAAATAAACTATATATATATATGAATATATACATATATATAGTATATATTTTAGATACTATTAATTTTGGCTTGCTGTAAATAAAAATTGTCGAAAATATTTCCGGCTGCCGAAATAATTTCGGGAGCCGAAATTATTTTCAAATGCCGAAATTGTTTGACAATATTTCACCAGTTTTTTTTTACCTTATTATCACATTTCTTGCAAAACAGTTACCACATTTTTATCAATTACTACATTTCAAGCGCTTTTATTGTTTCATGCTTACCTATTATTTTTTCGTGGTAACCTTGATCTAATTTTTTTACTTGCTTTTTAATTGGATGCATGTCCGGGAATATATATCAATAAGCCTGTAATTTTTAACCAATCAAAATTCAAACTAAGGTGGTAATATGACACTAAAACATAGCGTATTAAATTAAGCCAATAAAACCGCATTATAATTAGGATTAAGGTTATAACTGTGCAGCTTCTATAAGCAAAATTTCACGAGGAACATTCTTAATTAGAACGCAGAAGTGGTTTTCTAATTAAAATTTTGAGCTATTCTTTTTTTTTTTCATTTGCACAAGAGTGGACAATTAGGGTGAAATATTTTCGGCCGAAAATAATTCGGCGTATCGGCATTTTAAAAATATAAAAAATATCGGCATGTTGTAATGCCATAAATCCTTCTGAATTTAGGCACCCATCATTAGAGTACAGGAGATGTTACACGACTGACTTTTCACCCGGTGTGCAACATATAAAAAAACTATTTTACAATACCAGATCATTCCGACAG